GTTAAGAGCATGGGCTGCTCTTCCAGAAGACCTGAGTTCAATTCCCAGCAACCACATGGTGGCTCACAACCATCTATCATGGGATCTGATGCCCTCTTCTGGCATAAATGTATACATGCAGATAGAGCACCATATACATAAAATAAATAAATCTTAAAAAAACAAACAAACAAACAAAAAAAACCATTGGCCAGGCGTTGGTGGCACATGCTTTTTAATCCCAGCATTTAGGAGATAGAGGCAGGAGGATCTCTGAGTTCGAGGCCAGCCTGGTCTACAAAGTGAGCTCCAGAAAAGCCAGGGAGATACAGAATCGCTGTCTTGAACACCCTGCCCCCCGTCCCCCCCCCCACACACAATAAAGATTGTCCCTGATCTCTAACCAGACTAAGGAAGTGTAAGGATGAGTATCTCTGAGGAATGTAGATTAAAAAGTCTTACATTTAACCAACAGTGAGTGGAAAATGTGTGTTTAACTGAAAAGCAAAGCTTGCTGAACTATGCTTAATACACTAACCAGTCCTGTTCAACAATTACGTCACGATGTTGGGGCCAGCGTGATGGCTCTGCAGGTAAAGACACTTGCTGCTAAGCCTGACCACCAGAGTTCAGTCCTAGAACTCAGTCCAGAGTTCACAGGGTAGGAAAGAACTGATGCCCACACGTTGTACTCTGACCGTTACACATGCTGGGCACATTCAAGTATCCTCTCACACACAGAAATTAGTGCAATAAAAATGGCAAAGTTGCGTTCATCTCAAAAACCTAAGATTGGTTTAATGGTCCAAATTCTACCTGGGTAGGTCATCATATTAGCAGGTTAAAGGAGGGAAAAAGAAATGTGATCATTTCAAAAGATGCAGAGAATTCATATGACAAATTTCAGTGTTGCTAATAATTTTTTTTTAAAGTGAGCCAGGTGATAACGTGTTTGTGATCCTTGGCACAGGTAGGAAGCTTGCCCCAAGTTCAAGGCCAGCCTGTGCTCTATAGCAAGTTTCAGACTAGCCAGACCCTGCCTCAAATAAAACACAGATTTCCTGAACCAATGAGTAGCTTTTCAGAAATCTTGCTCTGCCTCACTTCCCTGTAAAAGACTGGATGCTGGGCTGGAGAGATGACTCAGAGGTTAAGAGCACCGACTGTTCTTCCAGAGGTCCTGAGTTCAATTCCCAGCAACCACATGGTGGTTCACAACCATCTGTAATGAGATCTGGCGCCCTCTTCTGTATACATGATAAATAAATAAATCTTAAAGACTGGATGCTTCTTGCGGTGCGGCAAAGCGTCTGATTTCCCCAGGTTATTTAGCACTGTGCGGGAGGTCCAGACAGTAAGGAAGAGGAAAGCTCACACACCCCGGAAAGGAAGCAGCTTCCCCATCAGTGGCATGAGCATGTTGGTAAAACCTCCCAGGGTTCTGCAGAACTCTCCTGCAGACCTTAGGAAGCACGCAGCACACAAACTCTACGTACATAAATGAACAACAAACTGAATTTTTAAAGACAGTGTACGATGGCCTCAAAAGTGGACTTCCAACTAAAATTTGCAAAATACAAATGAGAGCTATATGCTTAAAAATAAGGCTGCTGAGAAATGTTAGAACAGTGTGTATAGATCAGAAAGGGCCATTTTGAGGGGAGAAAATGCCGTGTCCTGGTGGCTGTACTGAGGGATCTATATTTGTCAGAAACATTTTATAGTGTATTCTGAAAATGTGCATTTCTTTCTATGTAACTTGTCAGTAAGGTTTGGTGTATGTGTGTGCTCTTGCATGTCTGGATTACACATGTGTATCACCACATCAAGCCAATAAAACATTCAAAAACATTAGCAAACAGGTAGGCAGTTCAAGACTTAAATTAAAAATACCAGAAATAACCAGGCATGCCTTAAATCCCAGCACTGGAGGCAGAGACAGGTGGATCTCTCTGAATTTGAGGCTAGCCTGGTCTACATAGTGAGTTCCAGGCCAGCCAGAGCTACATAGTAAGACCCTGCCTTAAAAAAAAGAAAATAAAAATCAGAAACAAGTATTGTTTGCTCCATGATTCTGTAATGATGGTTAAAATATTAAATAGTTTAAATTTAAATATTTTTTAATAAAATCCCTATTAAACAGATGTTATTGTTAGGTAAAGGTATCTGACATTTTTCCCCCAAGAAAAAAAACAACTTTAGAACTGGTAGGCAGGAACTACCTGCTTGTCTCAAAGAAAATAAAATTAGAGTCCTACAAACTAGCCAGACTCTCTCTCAAGTTGCCCAAAGCTGGCCTTGAACTTGCTTTGTAGTGGAGGAGGACCTTGAACTCCTGATCCTGTCTTTATCTCCCAAGTGCTGGGATCACAGTCCTGCCTCACTGCCCAGTGGGAACAGGACCTCCCTAATCAAATGCATGGAGCCTGCCATAACTTCCTGGCAAGTATCACCTTAGGCTGTGAGGCTAATTTTGAAATATCCTACTTTATACCAGGAATAGGGTCAGGACTCAAGACAACACTCCTACTTGGAATGGTTCTGGGCTTTGGTTTGGTTTTTCCCTGGCACTGGGGATTAAATCCAGGACCTCAGACATGTCAAACAGACACCCAACCACATCCCATCATCAAAAATGGCTCTGGAAGGGATCACAAGTATAAAAAGATACAGGAACATAATTCCAAGGGCTCATTCTGCACTCTCCGATTCTTTCCCAAACAGATTGTAGGAGTTGGCCTAGATTTCACCACACAGATGCCCCTGCGGGCAATGATTTGTACATGGCTTTTGTTCTTTGGGGAAGCCACAAGGTGGTGGCATCTTGATCTTCCAGGACTTCTATAGCCAATTTGTGATATTGTCCTTAGGATCATAAATACCAAGTGGCAGTAGTGGCAGGTTGGACATTTTACTAGGCAGTGCCCAGGCTCAACAGGTCCATAGGTTTTGTGACCTAATCCCGAGTTTTTGTTTTGTTTTCTGTTCTGAAGCAGGTTCTTAGGTATCCCAGGCCATCTTTGAACTTGTTATGTTGTGGAGAATGACCTTGAATTCGTGATCCTCTGGCCATTACCTCCCAAGTACTATGATTACAGATGTTTGCTACTATGCCTGGTTTTGTGGGGCCAGTGACTAGTGCATGCTAGGCAAGCATTAAGCTACATGTCCAGTTGTGGGTTTTTGGTTTTTTTTTTCCCCCCGCGGAGGGTTGGGGGTGAGGTTTGTGAATTTTAGTGCAGTGCCTAAGATGACCAGAAGAGGGCATCAGATCCCCTGGAGCTGGAGTTATAGATGATCGTGAGCAGCCCAATATGGGTGCTAGAAACTGAACTCTGGTCCTCTTAAAGAGTAGCAAGTGCTCTAAACTACTGATCCATCTCCCCAGCTCCTTAGTAATTTTCAACTTATCATTATTAATTATTATTATTAATTGTTATTATTTTGCTTAAAGAGTTACAAGAAGTTAGCAGTCTTAACCAAGAAAAGTAATAATAACTAAAAGAAAATTATTTCTCTTTATTTGCATTATCCCATGACTGGGTATATATAGAAAAAAAATTGAGCTACATGCCATAGAAAAGTAACTGTAGGGGCCTGGGGGAGAGCTCCACAGGGCAAATGCTTGCTGTACAGGCCTGAGGACCCAAGTTCAGAACCCTTCACACACATCATCTAGGGGGACAGCACCCACCTGTAATCCCTGCGCGGAGGCGGCAAGGACAAGACAAGCCTTCCCAGATCGGTCCTGCCAGGTTAGGTGGCTGCCTCTGACCTTCACACACATACGCCCATCTGTGCACACTCCATGCACATACACCGTACACACATAACCACACCTCCCAGGGGAATCATTGCAGTATCGGGATTAAAAGGTGTTAAGAAAGCAGAGGTAAAATGTTAGGCTGTTCAGAACAAAATGATAGCTCCTAGTCTTGGGGGGCCGGTGGTGCTGGGAAAGGTTGAGGATGGAAGGGATGCTGGTTGCTAAGAGATGCCGGAGATTCAGAATGGCCACAGGCAACGGGAACTGAGAAGTAGAGGGACCGTCTGGGCGTAGTGGGGAGGAAGTTAACGCAGAGGAGCCGGTTATAAAGGAAACAATGGAAAAAGTGAGGAAATTCCACTTGGACCTGAGGGGAGAATAGAGTGTACTGAGTAGGGAGGGTGCTTATTTGCCTGCC